CAGTCCACAATCTGGCTACGTTAGTGTGTCAGCGCATGCGCAATATCTGACCACAGGAGCTATATTTTCTGATAAATATGCATTTATTATGGTTAATCTCAGCATAGATTTCTGAAATAAATTTTTATATGTAGACCTGTGTTTATAATTTAGAGAACGCCCTAGCCTGCAGGGTGCAAAACTCTTACTTTCTTCCCTCCCGTTTTCCTATTGTCTTTCTTGCCCCGCGCATAGACTCCTTAATCTTCTACCGCCCTCAGCTTTTCCCCTGCCGCCTGTCCTCAGTCTCCCACCCCTCTCTCACTCAGCAAGCTATATTATGCAGTTTGCTTCAGTCCGTTCTGAGCGCCTAAAACGGTGCTCGCGCATGCGCAATATCTCACCACATGAGCTATATTTTCTTATGAATATGCATTTATTATGGTTAGGGGGTATCTCAGCATAGATTTCTGAAATGAACTTTTATATGTAGACCTGTGTTTATAATTAGGAAAGCGCCCTAGCCTGCAAGGTGCAAAACTCTTACTTCATCTCCTCCCGTTTCATTTTCCCACTTCTATTCTTACCCCTCGCTTACACTCCTTCTTCGTCTACCGCCCTCAGCTATCTTTCTTGCCGTCTGTCCTTAGTCTCCAACCCCTCTCTCACTTAGCAAGCTATATTATGCAGTTTGCTTCAGTCCGTTCTGAGCGCCTGAAACGGTGCTCGCGCATGCGCACTATCTCATGAGAAGAAGAATATTTTGCAAAAATTATGCATTTAAAATGAAGAGCAGGTATCCCAGCATAGATTTATATGATAACATACCATCCGTAGACCTCACTTAAGAAACAGGATTAATACCTTTCATGTAAGGTGTCCGCTGCATATGCCAATCAGTACACAATCTGGCTACGTTAGTGTGTTAGCGCATGCACAATATCTCACCACAGGAGCTATATTTTCTGATGAATATGCATTTATTATGGTTAGGGGGTATCTCAGCATAGATTTCTGAAATAAATTTTTATATGTAGACCTGTGTTTATAATTAGGAGAGCGCCCTAGCCTGCAGGGTGCAAAACTCTTACTTCATCCCCTCCCGTTTTCCCACTGCCTTTCTTGCCCCTCGCTTACACTCCTTCTTCGTCTACCGCCCTCAGCTATATTCCCTGCCGCCTGTCTTCAGTCTCCCACCCCTCTCTCACTCAGAAAGCTATATTATGCAGTTTGCTTCATTCCGTTCTGAGCCCCTGGAAGGGTGCTCGCGCATGCGCAAAATCTCATGGGAAGAAGAATAATTTTCAAAGATTATGCATTTAAAATGAAGAGCAGGTATCCCCGCATAGATTTATATCATAACATACCATCCCTAGACCTCATTTAAGAAATAGGACGAATACCTTGCATGTAAGGTGTCCGCTGCATATGCCAATCAGTGCACAATCTGGCTACGTTAGAGGGTTAGCGCATGCGCAATATCTCACCACAGGAGTTATATTTTCTGATAAATATGCATTTATTATAGTTAGGGGGTATCACAGCATAGATTTCTGAAATAAATTTTTATATGTAGACCTGTGTTTATAATTAGCAGAGCGCCCTAGCCTGCAGGGTACAAAACTCTTACTTCATTCCCTCCCGTGTTCCCAGTGTCTTTCTTGCCCTTCGCATAGACTCCTTCTTCGTCTACCGCCCTCAGCTATCTTCCCTGCCGTCTGTCCTCAGTATCCCAACCCTCTCTCACTCAGCAAGCCTACATTTTGCTTTATTCCGTTCTGAGCTCCTAATAATATTTTGCAAAAATTTATGCATTTAAAATGAAGAGCAGGTATCCCAGCATAGATTTATATGATAACATACCATCCGTAGACAGGCCTCACTTAAGAAACAGGATGAATACCTTTCATCTAAGGTGTCCGCTGCATATGCCAATCCGTACACAATCTGGCTACGTTAGAGTGTTAGTGCATGCGCAATATCTCACCACAGAAGCTATATTTTCTTAGGAATATGCATTTATTATGGTTAGGGGGTATCTCAGCATAGATTTCTGAAATAAATTT